AAGAGTGTTTAAAATGCTCTTGCAAGAAATCAGTGTTTTTTACTTATAAGAGATTGTTATAAAATAGAAACAGAAGCTAGTGTGAGATCAAAATCAAACTGCTCTATCATACATTCTATGTGTTGTTCAGAGTTTTAGCTTGCGTTTGGAAACAAGTCCAGAAAACACTCCAGTGAAAAGTACTACAGCAGCACCATCTCCACCTAAGCAAGCCAAAAAGGAGATAGACAGTGAATCTCAAGGTAAAAAAATCTAAAATGTAAATTCTGTGCACTGAGAGGTCTGTTAATGGTAGTGATGAAAGAATCCTCTTCTTTCCAACAGAAAGTTTATAAAAAAAATTTAGTGTCAGCAAGGCTAGGTGTTTATATTGCTCTGCCCTTCCTTACCTGGTAGTCCTAGATCTAAGCCTACTAGCAAAGGTGAGAAATATGGTATCTGGAAACTATGCCCGCCAGGGGCACAGCCTCAGTAATTTAAAAGAATAAAAGTTAATGTTAAGTTTAAATGAAGTGTACTACCAGTACTTGTGTAAAGCACGACCCCGCCCCCCCAAGCAGTTTTAGATGTACACAATTATTGTGGAATTAATCAAATAAATTAGAATAGTATTTGGCCAGTTATAAGAGCCAGTTGAATAACAAAAATATTAATCTGATGCATGTAAAATCAGCTGTTAGTGGAGTACTAGTCGATGGACTTGACTGACTTCATACTTTGCTTTTGTTTTTCCTGCCTGTCTTCACTCTTTTCATTAACTGATGTTCTCATTCATGTCTGTATGTCTTTTTTCCTCCTCCTCTCTACTTTCTTTTAACTACTTTTCGCTCCACAAAACTCTGAAAACATGATGAGATGAATAAGAATAGTGTTCTTTTTTCTCCCATCCTCCTTCATCTGCCCATCTACATGTATGACTTGGAATTTTTACCAGGTACATAATAGTCAGACTTAATCACCTGATCACGAACTGGTGCAAAAAAGTGAGGAAATGCTCAGGTGAAAAGTCTTTTTCCCCTGCAGCTGCTGAGAAAAGGAAGGATGTTAGAATTTCTTCTTGGATGCTGCTCTATGGACTCTATTCCATGTTCCATCTTTGCTACCAGCTTCTGGCAAGTTGATGTCTGAAACTTGAAACTCCATCTTCTCTGATTGCAGGAAAAGGAGTTGCATTCTGTGTTCTATATTTGAGTCTTCTGGCTGCTAAGGGATCGGGGTAGGAGGAGGTCTCAATAGTCTACACCCTCCCTTACTCTGGGCTGATACGTGGAGGAGAGAGAGTATCTGCTATTCAACCCCATGTTCAGCTTTTTGACTGATGCAAAGGGGTGATGGTGGTTATACTGCTCTGCCCTTTCTCCCCACTGTTTTTAAATTCCCGTTCCTTAGTGCCTTTCTCCCTCATAGGTTCCCAAGTTGCAGTAGAATGAAACTTACCTGACTTGTTGATTTTGCTTCTGTTTGCTGAGAGAGATGTTCTCGTGTACACAGTTACACACAGGTTTCCCCCTCCTTACCCCTGCACTGTTGCCTCCACAGAAGAAGCAGTGCATGAGGGCAGGGGCAGATGGGAGCTGGCTTAAAAACCGGCTCTCTTGGAGCTGCCTGCCCCTCGTGCTGCATCAGAATACAGAGGTGGCAGCACCAGTCGGAGATGAGGGGGGTTAAGGTGGGAGCTGGTGCTTGTGGGGAGCTAGCTTAAAAGCTGGCTGCCTGAGAGCATCTGCTCCTGCCTTCCCCCTACTCTGCTCCTACCCACATGTAAACGTGTACCGCTGAAATTTTCAGCAGTTACACGTTTACAACGCATTTTAACATCCCTAGCCAGCATGAGCAGATTGAAACTAAAATTCAGATAATTCTGCTGCTTCTCCTTCTCTAGTGAGGAAGAACCATATTCAGCAACAGTGGATATGGATAACTTTCCTGTAAAATAAGTTTAAAAACTTGTGTAGAAACTTATTTGAATCATGCACTAAACTCACTTTTTTAAATTAAATGCTGCATCTATAATACTGTCTTGCATATCTTTGTAGTGAAGTTAACACGTTTTGCCATTTGTTTAGTTAAGTTTGCTTTTTCTATTAAGAGAAATTTTCTAATGAAATCATAATCCTTGATTAACTTCAGGTTCGGCTCTCAAGCACTTGATGCGCACATCATTCACAAATCAGACCTCTGATACTCTTAAGAGGTATAGTACCTTTTTATTCTTTAAATATATTTATGGACTGACAGTAGTCCTTCCTCCTGGAAAGTTGCTTCCATAATTGATCATAAGATCAATTTTTTCATTCCAATTTTTTTCTACTGCCATATTGAACTTCCATTTGTTTTATGGAGAGGATGAGATGGGGTGTTTTTTTTTTTTTTTTCCTTCAAGAGACCAACCTCTGTGTCATCCAGTTTGTCAGTGAAAAAAACACTTAACTTCAGCTTTGGCAGAAAAAATAATTAGGCTGGCTGGATGTGTCTCATATTTAAAAAAAAAAAAAAAAAAACCTTTTGGGGTAGGCAGTGTCAAGTTGGCTTTTCTTCTCCATGCAGTGGGAAAGTCCTCTTAAAAACATTTTTGAGAGAAATACAGCCAAAGGATATGCCTGCATTAGGGATGTAATGGGTAACCAGTTAACTGGTAAGCATACAGGTTAACCAGTACCCGGGGGCAGCCTGCTGCTGGCTGCTCCAGCCCTACAGGGGTCAGGAGCTAGTACTCCTGTGTGGGAGGGTTGTGAACAGAAGC